AAAAGTCTTTGTGAATTGCTCTTAGTAGAATAAAATTAGGAGTCCTAAATTTAAGACTGACACGCCCATATGCTTAGGAGTTTCTCCTAAATTCGCCAGTTAGGAGCTACTTTAGCCCTAAAATCCTTTGTGAATACGGCCCCTGGTCTAATGTGGTCTGAATTTTAAAAAAGCTGCAAAATCTCCCTTGTTTATATTTTCACAAATAGAATAAAGGTTTCACAAATCTGAAACGGTGTTATAAAGAATCTTTAGACTCTCTGGGATAATCCAGTCCAGATTTGATGAGTGTAGGTCTAGTGGTTTTAGATCAGGACCTGGTCTAATGTGGTCAGGATGCGAAAAAAGCACTGAAATCTCCCTTGTTTGTATTTTCACAAATAGAATAAAGGTTTCACAAATCTGAAACGGTGTTATAAAGAATCTTTAGACCCTCCGGGATAATCCAGTCCAGATTTGATGAGTCTAGGTCTAGTGGTTTTAGATCAGGACCTGGTCTAATGTGGTCTACATGTGAAAAAAGCACTGAAATCTCCCTTTTTTGTATTTTCACAAATAGAATAAAGGTTTCAAAAATCTCAAACCGGGTTATAAATAATCTTTAGACTCTCTGGGATAATCCAGTCCAACTAAATCGGCTATGCAGCAATTTAAGAGGTTCAAACACGGAGGATTGTTCGCTCAGCGCTGTAAATTAAATGTCCCTTAACTTTCCCCTTAACTGCCGAATCGGATGCTCTGAATCGGAAGCCAACTTCAGCTTCGTCATCCTGTGTGACCTTTCAGAACAACACTTAGAAGAATGACCCTCTGCTGTACTCAACCACTGCTTCTTGTAATAAGACATGTTGCGTTGCTGACGGTGGAACGATGCTGTATGAAGCAGTTGTAAAAGATTGTTTGTCACAATACTGCTAGTTATTACAGAACTAGCTGATATAAATGGTTACATCTATAAGAAGAAAAAAGGTCTATTGCTAATGCTAACCCCATGCTAATAGGGCTCAAGCTAACATTGTTAATGCTTCTTTCCCAAGGAACCCAATCTGAACATTGGTTACATCTTCTGAATGTTTCCTGTCTGACTTTACAGATTCCTGTTGCGTGCAAGTCCTGCCCGTGTGGTTATGTGTTTATTAGCAGAAAACTCCTCAATGCTAAGTTAAATGAGCGCTCTTCTCCGGCCATAGCAGGTAAGGCTCAGCTGACACGATGCTATGATTAGCTTGTTATTTGTTATGATCATTGATGGCGTTTTATGAATAATAGGTATTCTATAGTATTACATCTATTACATTTTTCAGTACTGTTTATTTATTTATTAAAGTGTATATGCTTGTCTATATCTATATATAAAGTGTACGTATTGTTGTCATGTTTGCATGTTGTTCTTTAACCACACTGTCTGAGCTGTAGGCCTACTAAATGCAACATGCATGTGTCCTTCAGGAATTACTTTAAGCTTGTTTTCAATCATGTTTCAAAGATACATTTGAGGAGAACTGGACACAATGGAGTTTGAAGGAGAGACAGACTGAATAAGTTCAAGTGCTTTCCACTTGTAGTAGCCCCGCTTCCAGGGTGCACCCGTCCCACATTTGTTATAATGTTTCCTGTGTTGAAACAGAACGGAATAGTTGTGCTTATTTGATTGGAAAAGGGTATACATGATTTGACACCTTGATAGAGAAACCGTTTGTTAGCAGAGTATTGTGATCGTTCAGACAGGATGAACTGACATGCAGCCTTCCCAACAGTCTGCATGTCTTTCTGCAGAATTGACATTTAAGATCTAAGAAACAGCAAGAACCTTTTTGACTATCTCTCCTAACATTAACCATAGAAGGTCCATGCCAAACGTCAACGCTCTCACAATAGTTTAACACTTCAAGGGTCACCAACCGGACAAGACACAGGACAAACTAGGACACCTGTGCTTTTCCTACTATCACACATTCAAAAGTCTTATCACAGAAAATAACATCTTGTCTGAAGCTTAAAAAAAAGCTGTTTTAAGAAATGTTTTATTTCACAACTTTTCATCAACCATGGTCCAAACAAACACTGCTCACCAAGATCATGACATCTCTGATACGTGGGAAAAGTAAACTCACGTCAGCTAAATGAATATTGTGACGTGAGACTTGATATTGTCTTGTGTTTTGGATATCGTAATATCACATGATGTCTTTTCCGGGTTTTACCGACTGCATTACAATAACTGGATTTCATTTTCTGAACTTACCAGAGGGGTCGAGCTGTTCTATTATTTGCTGATTCGTCGTTATATCTACATAGCTGAAGATATTTAGCATTTTTACATTTCATCGTGTAAACACTTAGTATTATCATCAATAGTTTAATCAGTATTTATAATATTTACAATATTGTTTAAATATTGATATTGATAAAAACAAGATTTAGAGAGGATGAAATGAGGAGTGTCGGTCGTCAACCAGCCTGCTGTGATGGGGAACTGTTTTTCAGCATCTGTATTTTGTGCTTCAGACAAGCTGGACTTTAAGCGGAGGAGGACGGAGCGCATCCGCAGAGAGAGGATAGACTCTTCTCTGACCAATGACATGGAGAACAGGAGGAGACCCCGCACCAACAGCCAGTCAGATCCCATCCGGAGGGGGCGTGGCAGACCAAAGACTGTGGGACTGAAGAAACCAGATGAGGACAAAGGTGAGGAAGTGGTGTTACACACTTTGTTATTACAGGTTAACTGTGACCATCCTTAACGGAACAGATATCAAACAATAGGGGTTCCTCTCATTAGAGCACAGCAATTCTACTGAGCTTCTGGTATAATATCATTTAATAATGTCATCGGTCTTGGTTACCATTTCAGTCCAAAATTGGTAATACATATACAAGCAACATATGTTATTTTGAAAGTGTTAAGGGTCCTGTTGGAGTAGTCCATGGAGATGCTTTACACAGCTTGCTATTCAATAAGAAGATACACCAGTCTTCAGACACACTTTGACATTGGTTGCACTAGTGAGCCTCACTTTGTTGTTTGTTTCACCAGCACATCATTTCAAAGTGACACATAATAATAATACATTATATTTCTATAGTGCTTTTCTTGGACCCAAAGACGCTTTACATTTGGGAGGGAGGGTAGACAAACAAAAGAAAACAGAAAAGCA